AGTTTCATCCTTCTCTTGTGCACCTTCGAATGCCAATTTTGTTTTAGTTGCTTTGGGAACTGATTCTCTGATCCCCCAAATTATCAGAGACCTGTACTCCGTCATGGCTTTCCTCCCTCCCTCCTGATTAGGGTTCCAATTGGGATCCGCTAGTGGCAGTTTGTCTTCACCTGATGGCACTTGGGATCCTGGACGGTTATCTTTTTCCCAAATTCTTATGCTAGCAGCTCTAGTCATTCGGAACTCTTCTGGGGAAGATAATATATTTAGAATGGAATTCATCTCCCCCCAAGTGTAGATATTTGGACCTAAGAATTGATCCACTTGGTTGGCAATGCCCACAGGGTCTTCAACTAAATTCCCTAACTCCTTCTTGAATCCTCTCACCTCAGAAGCAGTTAGAGGAGCATTCACAAAACCCACACCTCCCGCTACTCCTCCCATAGAAGCTTCTCTAAGGGGAAAAAAAGTCTCTCTACCTTGGAGGTCCTGGATCGGGTACCACAGTATGGCCCATCTTCAGACACAGAACTACTCATTTGAGGGGTATTAGCATTAACCTGGACCTGCTGTAGGTCAACGGCTGTACCTGGTGATAAGAGGTTATCAGGTAAGGAGGCATTTGTGTCCCAATTAGGAGGAGGTGGAGGGACAGCAGTAGGGGGGGAGAAAGGGTGGAGCATGCAGCAGGTGTAGTAGGTATTAGTGGTGGTGCAGAAGCAGCTAAAGGAGTTGAAGCGGGTGATGAGGGAATGGCCACCATGGCAGCCGGAGGAAGAGCTGGATCTCCTATTTGAGGTGCTCGAAGGAGAGGGTTATAAGGTGGAGGGGCATCAGGAGGCAAGTAGTCCAGGGGGTCCCAACTTTTAACTCCAGCATCCCCTCCTTCATTCCACTCTTTCTTCCTCTGCACCTTACAAATTTGCACTCCTTCATCCTCTATAGCACTCTAACCAACAAGCTACATATAATAATTGTTCGGGATCAGTATCCTCTCGAGCTGTCAGATAGTGACTCAGTTGTTGACACATCCACTTGTCTTTTGTCCCACACCACGGCCATCCTCCTTGCACATCTAATTCTGGCCACACTTCTGGACAGTAATGAATCATCTTAACTTTATCTAATCCTTCTGTGGCCTCTATAGAGTCCCATCTCTCTAATAGTTCACCTAGGGGATTATGGGGGGTACATTCTTCAGTCTCTGGCCACTTTTCTTAGTATTACACCCTCCAATTTTTTCAGGCTTCAAAAAAAATCATGAAGATGCCTCTACCCTAAAGGAAATATATGCTATTTAAGAAGACCCAGCCTCCTCCGCCAAAACTCCAATTTGCCTGACCCCTTTTTGTCAGGACTTTGTTGAGACCTCGGCCTCTTTCACCAAGACTCAACAAAAAAACCTCGAGACCCTGGCCTCTGAGGCTGAGTTTGCCTGACCTCCTTTTGTCAGGACATTGTTTGCCTGCAGGACTTTTGAACTTGCCTGAATCCTTCTCAGGACTTGTGAGTTTGCCTAACCTCTCTCGTGAGGACTTCAAACAAAACTATGGTCTGATTTTTGGTTTGCCTGATTTTCCCCATCAGGACTTACATATCAGGGCTTGAAAAAACTCGAGATAGGCTTCCTCTGCCAGACCTCATGCCTGACCTCTGTCAGTCCGGCGCTGCTCCATGTCTCTGTCCCAAGCTGATCTTCTCTGGTCCTGATAGCCAGCTGTCCTGCAGGTCCAGGGTGGGCGGCCGTCCCAGTCCTGGTGTCCTCTTCCGGTGTGGCTATCCCAGAGAGCCCCCAAGCTGAAATAAATGGGCAGGAGATCTTTCTCCTTTTTAATGCCTTTATTGAAAAGATTCAGCTCAGGCTGGGGAGAAACAAAAGGTCACCCACGCCGCCGCTGCTCCCAGTAGTGGCACGGAGGAGGATGACGCAGCTGTGTCCACTGGTCTGCAGGCAGAGCTGGGGCTTCCGTCCTCCAGGCAGTAGTGGGAATTCTGCTTTTTCCGTCCAACATTCCACATCCTCATTCTAGTTAACATATTTTCAGGTTAGGGTGAGAAGTAAAAAGGATCTTAGCAGATACTGGATTAAGTTCCTCACCTTTAGACATTCCTTAGGTCTCTTAATTCCATGTTGGGTCGTTGTTTTTAGGGGTGTTTTCCTGGAAAATTGCAAAATCTGGTGAGATGCATTCTCATCTGCATACCAGCTCTGATGTCACTCTCTTCCCCTGCTACCTGCAGGGTCCAGTGTCACTCCCTGGCAAGCAGCAGGGGGGACAATGGCTGATTACCAAGCATTAACAGGCAATCGAAGAAGAACTCTCAACAACAGGTGACTGCAACATGAAGCTAACCTTCAATTCAACAGCAACTGGTCCAACCTGTTTTAACTCTGCAACCTTAAAAAAAAATTGATAACTTTTTACTCATAACAGTCCCTCCCCTTAGAGCCTTGCTCGACATCGAAGAAGAACTCTCAACAACAGGTGACTGCAACATGAAGCTAACCTTCAATTCAACAGCAACTGGTCCAACCTGTTTTAACTCTGCAACCTTAAAAAAAAATGGATAACTTTTTACTCATAACAGTCCCTCCCCTTTTAAGGCTTAAGCTTCAGCTTGCATCAACTTGCAATTTTTGGCTCATTAACATAGAATTTCTTATATTTTTTGTATTGATTATAAATTTCCTGAGCACTTTGGTGATCATAGTTACTCAACTTCATTACTTTTTTGGTTTTTTCAGGTTAATTTCTTTAGAGATCCTTAGGTTATTCTGTATGGCAGATGTCACTATTTTAATTAAGAAGGGAAATAAGAAGAGCAAACTAACAAGTGTACGCACAGTGAAGAAGGTTATAGTTTTCCAACTTCTTTTGAAAGTCCATAGGTTATCCCACCAACTGGAATCACATGCAGGAGTCCTTTCTTGGTTTCTTACCTATGCTAGTTTTCTTATTTCGTTTCAGATGTTTCTAATGACTGCTACAACTAATTTGATTTGATAAATTACTGTTTTGGTTTGGATGAGTTGGTCATTAATATGATTAAGAGCTAATACGGTCTGATTAGATATTATCTCCAAAACTGCTTTTGTAGCTTCATAATTTTGTTTAATATATATCGCTTCTTCAGTTTGGTTTTTCTTAAATCATTGCATATAGGAACTCTTAAACTTGATTCAGATTCTTTGGGTAATATAAAGAAAGCTTGTTTTATAATTCTAATGAGGCAACTGCCAGACCAGTCTCTTGGCAATTTAGTGGCTATTTTAATTAAGAAGGGAAATAAGAAGAGCAAACTAACAAGTGTACGCACAGTGAAGAAGGTTATAGTTTTCCAACTTCTTTTGAAAGTCCATAGGTTATCCCACCAACTGGAATCACATGCAGGAGTCCTTTCTTGGTTTCTTACCTATGCTAGTTTTCTTATTTCGTTTCAGATGTTTCTAATGACTGCTACAACTAATTTGATTTGATAAATTACTGTTTTGGTTTGGATGAGTTGGTCATTAATATGATTAAGAGCTAATACGGTCTGATTAGATATTATCTCCAAAACTGCTTTTGTAGCTTCATAATTTTGTTTAATATATATCGCTTCTTCAGTTTGGTTTTTCTTAAATCATTGCATATAGGAACTCTTAAACTTGATTCAGATTCTTTGGGTAATATAAAGAAAGCTTGTTTTATAATTCTAATGAGGCAACTGCCAGACCAGTCTCTTGGCAATTTAGTGGATGCTGTAGTACAACAGATCCAAAACAGGTGTTTAGAGGTCTCCTGAAATATATTAGTTTTTGTTGTGCCCTCCCAATATTTAGAAATTTCTTTCATTCTCCAAAAGAGGTTTATCTCTTTTTTATCACACTCATAAAGTCTATATGTTTTATGGTAAATGCACTTGTTTTCTTTTTCTTTAACAGACCAAATTCTATTAGGATCTCTTGGGACCCACCGGGTAGCAGAGTCTTTTACTGCTAAATACCTTTTACAAGCCATTCTTTCTACTGGTGTACTGTACCCCTTCCCTTTCTTTAACATACATTCTTCTCTTATTAGGTTTTTACTTCTGGGTATTGCTAAATGGTCTAATTCTCTTATTGCTTTTACTATTTCTTTTCCTTTGACTAGATTTAGCAGGATTGCTTCAGTAGCATCACATTTAAAGCACCACCAGGCCTCTCCTACAGGGTACTCTCCCAGGAGTGGCTGCCTAAAGGTGGTGGAGTTCCAGGCCTACCCAATATATTTTCTCATTCTCTTGATAAAGGATCAGTTGGGAGAGGTTAACACAATCATAGTTTAAATTGGTGTGGACTCTCAACAAGGAGCTTACTTCTTTCTCATAGAGAGGTTGGTAGCACTCACTGCACGGCTCTCCTGGGCTCCCCAGGGCTCCACCAGCAATCAGAGCCATCACTACTACCCTTCCCAAGAGTCCAGTATGGGTCATCTTGCACAGCCTGCCCACCCGGCCTTGCCTCTTGAAGATTTTACTGAGAAGAAGTTTCCAAGCTCTTTAGCGTCTCTTCTATTTGCTTCTCTGGTTAACCTTCTCTTGATCTGTCCTTACTAATTTCGTCTCTTAGGGGAGCACTCTGTAGAAGATTAACCTGGAGTCTTTGGTACTAAGTTCCATAATTACTTACTAACAATTTTTAACTTTTACAAATTTCTTAAAACACTTTAAGATATGTTATGATTCTAAACTCTTTTCTATGCAGTTCATCAGTCTTTTTGGCTCTTCCTTTTGAGTGTCAACTTTAAGTCATTTGGTCCTTTTATAATAGTATACTCAGCTGAATTAACTCCTGATGTGGTTGAATCCTGTCCTGAGTTAGTGGAATCTGGTCCAATACCAGAGGGAGACACTGACAAATCCTGTCCAATGTTCGGGGGCGGGATTGGTCCTTTAATTCTCGTGATGTGGGTCCAACCCTTTTCTCTGGTCTGCACAGCCAAATTAGCAATGACGAGTACCTGAAAGGGGCCTTCAAATTTAGGCATTAATGGTCCACTGTTCCAGGATTTTATCAAAACCCAATCTCCTGGGTTAATGTCATGTGCTTTTGTGTCAAGAGGGGAGGTTTGGGGGAGGTATCTTCTTTTCTAAGTTCTTCCAGGGTTCTTCCAATGACTTCTAAATATTTTCTAGTAGCTTCTTCTCCTTCCAAATAGTCTCCTGTGCTATAGGGTGTTAACAAGAATGGCAGTCCAAACCTCATTTCATGGGGTGAAATCCCTATATCAGACCGGAGTCTTGTTCTGATGAGCAAAAGCGCTAGGGGCAAACACTTCAGCCAATTCATTTTTGTTTCTTCGATCAATTTAGTCAATACATTTTTGAGAGTTTTGTTCATCTGTTCCACCCTCCCAGAACACTGGGGGTGCCACGACAGGCCAGCCTGCTTTGTGTTCTCTGGCGCACAGCAAGTGCTGTGCAGTGCCGCTCGGAGCTGCTGGGAGAGAGAGAAGCGGGGATGTGCCTGAGGGCTGTGCTTAAGTAGTGAACTGATTTGGAAGGGAACAGGAGAGTTTCAGTAGCAATTTGTGTTTTCTTTCTTCCTTTCTGAAAGACAGATACAATGTGGCTTCATTCAGCAAAAGCACCGCTTTTTTCTTTTTGCCTTTTTTTTCTGTATTTTAGTATGACAACTCAGGCAAGCCCTTCAAAACAGCAACTGAAGCAATTCCCACCCAGTGAGCACAAAAACTCCAAATCCCCCACATCGTTTTACTGTAGATCTTATCATTCTGGGCTGGTCCTGCAAAGGGCTAAGCGGCCTTTAATGTCTGAAGCACCTACTTGTCTTCCAGCAGGGACAAAGGCAGTTCTGGAATCAGGCAATGAGCTTGTTTCTTTTGGCTTCTCGTTTTGTTGCAGCCCCTCTGTGGAAATAATCCTGCGAGCTGACAGAGCCTTGCTCACTCTGTCCATCCCAGTATCTCTGGCAGAGGCAGCACAGGATCGCATTTCTATTGCAGGGCTGTTCTTCTCAGTAACCACGGCTCAGCTGCCTCTCACTGACATATTGCTGACTGAAGACCTGTCTCTTCCATATCCCTTATAAAAAGACCTTACCTTAGATTCTCAAATTTTGCATGCATGTGTGAAAAAAAACGCAACACAAACCTTTAGGAAAATTGGAGCAGATTTCATTTATCAAACCCTCACCAACTGCATTAAAATGTAGGTCTGTAAGCTTTTCTTCAGAATTTTCTTAATCATGGCTCCTGAGTCATTTTTGGGAGATAACTATGCTGCCCTTAACAACTTCAGATTACTTGGCAAGTGGTAATTAGTCATCCATTAAGCATTCCAGCCGTTCTGTAACATTTCATTCCGATAACTGATCCCTGGATATTGCAGCTTCTGATTTGTGTCTGCCCACTTCTTTCCCATGTTCTGAGCCAAGTGCAAGAGTATCCTTGTGAGTGCATCTTAACAGACTTTGCAGTGACACCTCACTCCGAATTCCCTAGATGCTCCCAGGGAAGATTCCTTGCTCTTTTTTCTCTGCCACCAATGGGCATCTGCAGTCCCTGCCCGGCACTGCTCCTTGCAAGTCCTCAAGGCAGAGGCGATGCTCTGGTGCACCTGGCGCAGGTGACCCTTGTGCCCGGGGAGGGACCGATGCTCCGAGCTGCCGCGGACCCGGCGGCGAACCCGAGTGGTGCCATCGCCTCGCCGGGAACCCGAGCGGTGCCATCGCCTCGCCGGGAACCCGAGCGGAGCCATCGCCTCGCCGGGAACCCGAGCGGTGCCCACGGCGCTGCCTCCCCGGGCAGGGCTGTGCTCTCAGCGCCGCCGGGGCTGCCGAGCAGCGCTCTCCACCTGCCTCCGGCTCCGGACCCAGCCCCGCAGCCACACTCTCCCGAAACGCACTGACCCGCGCCCATTGTCGGCCCGGCTGCAGGACTCCCTGAGCCCGGCCTCTCCTGCTTCCCGGTCCGCCTGCAGGAGCCGCCGCTCCCGGGCTCCCGCTGCTGGGCTCTCCTCTCCCACGTCTTACCCCGATTTCCCAGGTCCTCTCCACTCTACTCGGGATTTTCCCCGGTTGTCAGGCTCTCCCCCGTCTCCTGGGCTCTCCGCCCTCTCTCGGGTTTTCCCCGGGCCGCGCCGGGGCCGCGCCAGCTCCGCCCCGCGGGAGGAGCCGCGACAGCGCCCGGGCAGCGGCCCCGCGGGGCACAGCGACCCCGGCTGCGCCCGGAGCCGTGCCTGCGGGGGGCTGTGCCGTGTGGGAGCTCCTCCGGGCTCGCTGCGGACAGTAAGAGCTCCCACCTGTGCTCGCTTTGCACCTTCAAGGCTGCCGGTGCCTTGCAGTGAAGCTGGAGTGCCCGGGGTGCTCCGGTGGCGTCTTGTCCTTCAGCTCAGCAGGAAGATGGTTCCAAGTGCGGGTGCGAGGGATGTGTGTGCAGTTTGTGTGCTCCTGTCCCTGTCTGTTGGAGTTCGGTGTGTTCACTCTGGTGGTAAATTCTTGGGTAGCATGATTATGAGCCTGGATTTACCCAGGCTTTTAAGCGAATAAACTTGGAGACATTTTTCTGTGCAGTTCCTAGAAAACAGCTGTATTTTCCATTGAGGATCTGTCATATTTTGATTTGTCTTGGAGAGACGTGTGGGTTTCTTTGCTGCTGGAGTGTGGGAATTCATAAAATCCGAGGGTTTTGGGAAAGCTGCAAAAGGCAGGCCTCAGAGACAGCAGAACTGTGGTTAGAGCTAAGCAGTAGCCATAAGATAGGTCAGCAGAAAAAATATGTAAGAAGTGGAAAAGTAAGGACAGATAGAACAATGGTCTGTGTATTAACACTTGGCTGGAATAACTCCCTAAGCTGCAGAAAAGTGTATCTAGTGAGATATTAGGAAGTGTATCTAGTGAGATATTAGGAAGTTCTAAGCTTAATAATGGAGCTCTGTGCATTGTGTTTTAAGGCTTACAAGCAGGTATTGTATTCCAAATAAGCAAGCACTGTTTTAACCAAAGGTCCGTGTGCTTACAGTGATTGGATGGAACTACTGTCAATATGCTTTTGCTTTGTGTGATTGGTCAAAAAACTTCTAAGGTAAGTTGTAACAGTAAGTTGTTGGTCTGCTGCCTGGGATGTCAGCTGATGGAATCTTTGCATTGTCATAACCATGTAATGAGACTGATGCTGGAAAATAAAACGGCTCAAGGCACATTCCTAGCAGTCCTTCCCCATTTGTGATTTGTACATAGCCCCCCTGCAGGCGATATTTGGGTCCTTTTAATTGTTTTTATTTTCTTATGTGTGTTCAGCTGTTTTAAGAAGTTACTCACAGGGTCTCTTGGGTAAGCCTTTTTATTAAATAAAGGAGGGGGATTTGTGCGGACCTGAGATCCAGCCAGAGAAAAGCCTGCTGTGCTCCCCTGGAGGACCAACCCCTGAGCCACTGACTTTAGTTAGGGTGAGCAAATACCGCCCTCAGAGATCTTTGCACTTTGTGTTGATCCCCAATTACTCATTGGTCCTTCCCTTTGTGGACCGCCCTGAGCTCCACCCTTGAGCCCTTACTCCACTGGTTACCAGTTTTGTCCCACCCCCTCACCTTACCTATATAATCCCCATTTTGCTCGGTTCCGAGAGTTTCTGTCCCTGGCTCTCTTGAGACAGGGCTCTGCTCTTAATAAGGGCTGCTACTCTGTGGAACACCATACACAGCTCTTGTCTCTTTCTCCATGTTGCCCAGAAGAAGAAAGCCAAAGGCATACACTGCACACTGGGCTGGGAGAAGGAAGTGCCTGTGCCCCTGAGCCATCCTTCTCAGGACACTCTTCAGGAAGGTCGTGGCGCCCTTCCACCCCCTTGCCGCTGTGGCACCTGTTAAACCTGTCATTTTCCTCCGAAGTTCAGAAGTTCAGGCTGTCTGGCCTCTGCAAGAGACTCTGAGTGGACCCATTTGTTCTCTTACCCTAAAGTTCAGGAGTTTAAACTGTAGTCAAGTTAAGAGCCATCTCAAAGACACAAACACTCATTTCTCTTCAAGACCTTCACCCTGTCAAGTTGTTTGTAAAGACATTAGCTCCCATCTTTCCTGTGCACCAAGCAGAGTCCTAGAGCATATGCTCCTTCTGTTACCTATTGAGAGGCTTAATTTCAGATTCTGAGTGATGCTGGGAGTTGGGGATTTTTGCAAACCTCCCAGAAAAGTGATGGCTCACAGACAAGAAAATTTCTAGAGTCAAACTGAGTGTATTTTTTGTGTTTTACATAAGTTAGCATTTTCTTGTGGTAGTAAAATGTTCTTCATGTTGTCTTCATGGGAGGTTTTTTCCATGAAAATGTTGCTTCATCGACTCCTAGTGGATTATCAGCAGCTACAACAGGCATGTGTGACACCCCTTCTGCAAGGTGTGGTAACTGCTGAGTCTGGCTCAAGGCTATTTTAAAGGAAAAGACATGAAATTGTAAACTCTGCAGAAAGGTTTGCATGCCCTAATTTTTATTTCTCCTTCATAGAGTAGCTCCAGCTACTCTGAAGTGAAGAGTAGGTACCAGTATCTCCACAAAAAGCTGTCCCATATTCAGGAATCAGTATCTGAATTTGATAAGCAGCAAGTGGAGTCCTGGCACCAGTCATCTGCTTTAGCCAGATAACGTCTGTGAGCTCTGGCTTTTTTATTTCAAACTGAAGACTAGTCTCTCTAGGATTATTTATGTCAATCTTGAACAGTAGCTTATTTATTCAAAACCTAGGATTAGTTAGTCTAAGTTTACAGAAGTTAGTAGTGAACTTCTGCAATAAAAAAGTTTCATTGTTAACTGCTTCTCTCATTTTGCATATATCATATATTTAAGTTGGTTTTGTTTTGTTTGTTTGTTTGTTTGCTTGTTTTCTGGTCTGTTCTTTTCTTCAGGGTTTAGGTTTGTCCACGGAATTAATTTTATCAGTAGATGGTGGAAGCCCAGTACCTCTGCTATGAAGATGTGCCTATTTTAAGAAAATATTGTAGGAAATGGAAATTTTTGTAACAAATATAAGCCTGTTTTCTGACCTTTCTTGTTAATGCAAACTCTTTGCCTTAAGTGACAGAGGGTGTTGAAATTTGGACAACCCCCTCTCCAGACCACCTTGTTTTAGAACGTTACAGGGGAATATATTTACTTTCCACTGTGTGGTTCCTCCCCTTTTTTCACTCATGATGCTCGGCCTTTTCCCCTCATGTTTCTCACACTTTCCCCCTCACTTTTCCTGCTATTTTCTCCCCTCAAATTTCTCTTTTCCCCTTCACATTTCTCAGCCTATTCCCCTTAGGTTTCCTGCACTTATTATCTCACAATAATTCATGGGCATCATTGTTCTGGGTAGACGCCCACAATGGCATCCTCATAATCTGTTTGCCCATTAATTCTCACCCAGAGAACTCTCAGCTGTACCACTGCCAGTTGTGAACCCCATACATTCTAAATCTTCCATTACGTACAGTGCCATTCCTCCACCTCCTCTGCCCTGCCTTCCTTCCTGAAGAGCCTTCAACAGGGCACTCCAGCCACAGGACTCATCCGACAAGGTTTCACGTACACCAACGAAGTCAAATCTCTGGGACTGGGCCAAACCATGGAGCTCCTCTTGTTTGTTCCTCATGTTGCGTGCATTAGTGTAGAAACATTTCAGGGGTGGTACACTGAAGCTGACACCTTGTGAAGCGGATTGAGAGATGTGTAGCAGATGTTAGGTGTCTTACAAGTCAGCGTTCTGTTCATTGCATAGACCAAAAAGGACCTGTGTCCATTTGATCCGTTTTATGAAAAGTTTAGGTGCAAAACCCTACTGTTGTGAGCAAGGTGAGCATGGAGAAGGGCTTTATCTGCAGCAGCTCCCTGCAGGAATGGTCACTGGCACATTGTGCTGGACACCTGCATGCTTAATTTTTTCCATTTTCAAAACCCACTTTGAGCTTCCACTTGCTGTGTGTGCCTGAGGACAGTAAGAGTCTTGCATAAATATTTCAGGCACAGAGCAAGTCTTTGAAACTTTTAGAAAAGCTCACGTAGCTCAGTGTGGAGGAGCAGACTAAAGGGCGTTTTGCCTCAGACATTCCGACTTGCGAAAGCAAAGTTGTGATTAGAAGAAAAGGTCCTGAAGATGTGGAGCACCAGTGCCCTGAGCCAGCTTCCTGCTCTGCCTTGGAGACTTGAGCTCCGTCCCCAAGCTCAATTCAAGTTCCTGGAGAAGGGCTAAAAGGGCTGACTATGCATGCGTGACAGAACATGAAAAATCTGTTGTGCTCAGGAGGCAGGCTGCACCAGGTTAACTGCAAAAGCAAGCAGATCATTCCCTGCTGCTTTCTTTTTTTTCCTCTCTGTCACTGTCATTATTTACTCCAGCTCTGGATTATCCACGTGTTGTAGTGGCTAACAGCTGGCCTGGAGGCCTTACAGTTGTAATTAATCCTGGTTATAATTTTATAACTGAAATGTAAGTCATTGTAGAATTATCTTCATTATATAACTTGACCGTGCTCCTGAGAGGTGGCATGGTGCTAAGACATTCACCCCAGCCCTGGCGCTGCCTTTTTCCAAGCTATGGGCAGCAGTGCAGGCTCCCTTCTCCCTGCACAATTGTCTGCAGAGGCCACTGCCCAGCAGGTGCCCTGGCCCATCCACGGGATGTCCCTCCTCAGGGTGCCACAGCTGCACAGATGCCACACTCAGGCTACAAGGGAGCGCAGCTCAGCCGGAGCAGGAGGTTGCCTTTGCTTCCCAAACTCACCCGGGAAGTGAGCAGCCGGGTTGTCCTCCCTTGTCGGACGGGGCCATGGCAGAACCCTGCTGGGGGTCAGCGTGCAAGAAGCCAGCTGCGCTCACAGAGCAGCCCCGCAGCACAAAGGGCCAACAGCCAGCTGCCACCCAGCCCCAGCAGCCTGAGCGTGGCGCACAGCTGGCAGCCTCCGGCACGCCGGCCTCTCTGCCCCACGCAACAGTGCTCCTGCCAGCGGCAGCAGCAAGGACGAGCCAGCACTGCCACTGGCTCTCCAAAGCCTCTGCTTGCTGAGTAGCACCACAGGCACTTCCTCCCTCCTAGCCATACATCCCTGGCACCCCAGCACAGCCAGAGGCGGGTGGAAGACAGCCACTCTCACATTTTCCTGGTCCTTAATCAGCCTCT